CGCGCCTAACGACTTAGCCGGTAACCTCTTCTCTAAGCTACCGCTTTATATAAGCGCTCGAGTAATATTATTACGTAATATTTCTTTCGAAATACGGCTTATAAATAGCTCTTAAGGCTTTATTTACGATATAAGTTAAGCGTAAGGCGTTAATTCTAAACGCGAGCCGTTAATAGTAGTTATGATAGCTTTCGACGATTACGACGGACCTGGGTTTAAAGATACTTAGGGAGATAAGCTACGCGATTTTCGAGGGAAAAAGGTAATGTTAATATTATACGAGCGCTAGGAGTTCGATTATAAGGGCGTTTCTTATATACGAAAATAGTTCTTTTTAATTATTTCATACGTAATAACCGTCTATAAAGCGTAAGGTATTATTATTCTTTACGTTGTTATTAGAATTATAGAAAAGAAATTCGCGTTAGGGTTAAATTACGTCGCCTACTTTAGGGTTACCTCGTTATAAGGCTTAATATTTAACGAGCCGTTTTATAAGAATACGGTATATAAAGAGCTAATAAATAGTAAGTTTCTTTTTACGTTCGTTAATATTTAAGCTAATATATATTTCGTAGGTATAAAAGCTAAGCTAAAAGATAGAGATTTCCGTTTACGTATATAGTTATTTACTTAACCTTTATACTTATTACGATATCCTTATAAATAACGTACTTTAGCGTTATAAATAACGAATAAGAGTAGCGTATATACGTTAGTTCTATCGAGCGAGTATAGTTTATAATACTTTAATTAATCTCTATATAGCTAGATCGCGTAGAAGTAAAGAGTATGGGTATAAAAGTAGCGTAGATATATTATTTTCCATATAGGAGTATATTTTTCTTGCTTTAATTATAGAGAGTCTCTTAAAATACGCCGCTTCTTCCTAACGTATAAAGATATCGTAACTTCTTTAATAATTAACGCCGTACCTTCCTTTAATCGCGAATTCTTATAACGCTTCCTTATTTATGAAATAAAATAACCTATTTCCTATTATTAATTACTTTCATTATTTCCTTTCCTTTTTCCTTACGCCTCTTATCCTTTTTATAACTACCTAAGTTTAAACCTTCGTATATAATTAATTAAGCTTAAAACGAACGCTAACGATATTTCGTAATCTTTTATTTAATGAAATAAGATTAAAGTAGTTAAAAAAAGTAAGAAATTTAATACGCGCGCGATGGATTTAACTAATTAAAGTAATATTTAAGATTTCGACTACCGAATTCGTTAACCTAAGCCTCGGTTAGCTATCGGTTAGCGACACTAGACGCGTAGCTAGTATTAATACTACGATAAGTAATACTAACGGCCTAGCGGCCGCCGGCTGCGGTAGCGACCCTCCTTTTCTTAGTATACCCTATAAAGTAAGTTATGCTTTACGAACTTTATAGTATAAAAAAAGTACGCGATTAAGTAATAATATACGTAGGCGTTAATTTTACTATATAAAATCTACTTATAAACCGAGTCCGCTCCCTTGCTAGTAGCGACGACGACGACGGTAGCGACGACGACGGCGACGAGGAAAGAGCGTTACCTTATAAGGTATGCTTTAAACGAATTAATCGATTATAGGCGAACGCCTACGTAAAAAGAACCGGTATATAAAATAGCGTAGAAAACGCGAAAAGTTACGTATACGCGATAATTAATAAGTATAAAAGATAATCGCTACTACTATTATTATAAAGGCTACTACGTTTACGCTAAGGTACCCCGGAAGGCCGAGCTAAAGCTCGTTGAATTTATAGAATTAAAAAAAGCTTTCGATTCTAAAAGAATTAATAAAAAGGTACGTTAATACGTAATAAAGTATGCTAGCGTAGAAATTCTAATTTAAAGTAAGCTTTTAATAAAGTCTATAAGAAAACTAGAAAGGTAATCCGGAAGGCGGAAGAACGGGTTATAGAGTAATAAGGATTAGATATTAACGCTCTTTCTAGTAACGAATTATTGTGAGAAATCGTACGTATATTAGGAGAAAAAAATACGGGTACGTAGAAAAAAGTAGAAAAGAAACGTAGAAAGAAGTAATGAAGATATAAGTTTAAGGGTTTCGTAGCTTTATTAGGCATAGCGCCCTTTTTTAATATAGAAATTACGTATCTATGTAATTTTAACATTAAAAACTTTTTTCTATACTAGATTTCTTTTATATTTTATTCTTCTTAAATTCGGTTTACTATATACGTTTTTCATCGTAAATAATGTACGCTTTACTTGATATAATATACGTTAACGTAAAAATTTAAACTAATTTCGAATTTAGAAAAGATAGTTTCGTATAAACTATAAGTTTTCTACATATAATTTCTTACGTTTTCTAGGTTTTCTATAATAAATAAAGTTCGTAGCTCTAAAAGCCGTTATTAAATAAACTAAGTATACTTTTTATATCTCTTTATCCTCCGGATAGGTTATTATTTTTAGCGTTTACGTTAAAAATAAGCCCGAATTATTCTACGAAGCAGAATAATTCGGGCCTTATTTTAATATAAAGCGATATAACGGGAGCCTATATATATATATAATGTATATAATAAATATATACTGTAGTGGTGCGGTGGATCTAGGCCACGTAGCCTTTTCGATGTCTATTTATATGGGTCACGCACTTATATTTTCATCAGTCAGACTTAGACCTGTAGACATCACAGCCATTAGCTATTCACTCGTTTCTTGCCATGCCTTTCTAGCTATCCTCGTTGCCCCTTTCTAGTCTCTCTCCTTCTTTTCCTTTCCCAGCTGCCGTTTTCAGCTGGCCGATCAACCGATTACAGCTGTTTACAGCTGTGATCTAGGTCTGATCGGCACTGGGCCAGTTGTTAGCAGTTGGGCAGTCCTTGTTTCGTGCCTCCATCGCAGCGTGCCTACGCTGCTCCTGTTCAATACTTGATTAAAAGCTATAATATATCTCCTTTATTAGGATATTGAAAAGAATTAATATAGAAACTAAGTAAGAGGATATTAAGAGTTATTAGGAAAATGATATAAAGGTTTAGGTAACTAAAGCGACGTATAAATTACCTCAGAGAATTAGCGAAACGAACGAAGCTAGAGCTAACCCGGTATTTCTATTAGAAGGGTAGCTAAGCTAAATTATCGCGAGCCCTTTGCCTAAGTTACTATTTAATTAAGCTCGTTATCGCGAGCCTAACTAAAGGGTATATTACGTAAAGAGCTACTTATATATAATATAATAGTGCGGTAGATCTAGGCTACGTAGTGTAGTGGTGCGGTAAGACATGCCCTCTTGATACATCACGTGATACGTTACGATAGGCCTTATGCTTATATAGAGTAACCATAGCTCCCGTAAGTACGGGTCATGCTATACTTATTATTTAGTTCATTACTTAGTTAGATTATTATCTTTATTATTTTTACCTTAATTAAAGGTTCGTTTTTATTATTAGATTCGTCGTTTTCCGATTAATATATCTATCTTAGTTATAGGCGCTTAAGTTACTTCGTCGTACCGTTATAACCGAATAAGTAACTTTTACGTTTTGCCCCTTTTCTCCCCTTACCTCTTATGCCTTCGGGCTAGCGACTATTACATCTCTACGACCAAAGGGTATAGCTAAGATATAATAACTACATTAAATTCCTTATCTCTCGATTAATATAGCGATATTAGTTTTATTTATCTTAGACCATCGTACGTACTATAGTCTTCGATAGAGTGCACTTTCGAGTAAACCTATCCGGGTCTCTAGTATCGCGTACGCTCTGCTCCTCCTCAGTAGCCTTTTAGATGTGTATTTATATAGGTCGCGTACTCATATTTTCATCAGTTAGACTTAGACCTATAGCCATCACTAGTTACAGTATTTCACTCCTTTTACTATGCCTTTTTTCGCCATCCTCGTTACCCTCACATTTTAATCTTTTCCCAGCTGCCGTTTTCAGCTGGCCGATCAACTAATTATAGCTGTTTACAGCTGTGATCTAGGTTGATCGGCACTGAGCCAGTTGTTGGCAGTTAGGCAGTCCTTTTTTTGTGTCTCCATCACAGTGTGCCCACGCTGCTCCTGTTTAATAACTCCTTACTTCTTCTTTAATTACTCGTTAACCTAATATAACTCTTAACTCGCTTATATAATATAACTCGTAGTTTCATATCATCTATATATAGGTAGTTTATATCTCCTTTATTTATCTCCTTTTTTCTTAAATAGTTAATTAATTTACTTTCTTCTTCCTATATTTTATTACTTTTAAGAAGCAACCTCAGTACCTACGTAGCTTTCCCGATCTATGTAATATAATATATTATATCATATAATATATTATAATAACATGTCGTACTATGCTACTATAATACTTCATTTCTTTTAATTTATATTAAGATTATAGGCAATTTAAAATACAGACTTTTACTATGTTTTAGCTATAGTAAAGCAATTTAAAAATAATAGCTCATTATTAAATACTATTTAATATATTTTAATATAATAATATATTGAAAAAGAAATTTACGTAGTATTTATTTAATGTTAATATAAACCTAATTTATTTATTCGTATATGTAAATAAATTAAATGTTACCGGTAAGGTTTAGGTGTAGGTATTTTGTATCTACTGCTAGATGACTAAAGAGTCGAACACATGCGAAGCTCTTGTGACCTCCCTCCTGGTTACTAACGCAAAGCATTACGCCTAGGTAGAGATGCCTTCAAACCAGGCTCCAACCCTATGACTCCCCATATAACACCCGGGCTTTACTCATAATAATCAATATCCCCATCCCATATTCACATTTGTTGTCCCCTCATTGGCATTACGCCTACCTTGTTACCCATTCCCTTATCGTATCGTCCCTGCAAGTCAGCAGGAACAGGTCAATTTCCTATTCCTTCCCATACCTCTTTACTACTTCCACTCACTAACAAAGGGTTTATTCCTACCAGGGACAGAGCTGACTATTTTGCCTCCTGGGGAGCACGTTGCGCGACGCTCGACATATCTTGCTTCAGTCTTTCGCCATGGACACCACAGTAGATCTGGGTAGACGCATCGTGCAGATGTTTTGGGATCCTGAACCAACTAACGACGTCGTCCGTGACCAACCAGTTTGGTGCCTCGGATCATCCTACAAGCTTAACAATAGTGGTGGCAATAGTAGTAACAGTAGTAGTGGCACCGGGCCCAGCGGGCCAAACCCCAAGCTTGATACGGCTTTGGCATTTGAGCAGCCGGCAAAAGAACCTATCCATGCTCTAGCAACGGCTCCCACCAGACTCCCTGAGACCCCTCCAGACTCTACCTCTAGTAGCCTCGATTCATTTCTGGCCTACGACGAAGCAACCTCTGGCGGGGGTTGGCCCCCAGCCTTTCTCGACGATTTCGAGTCTAGAATATGGATGACCTACCGGTCTGAGTTTGATCCCATAGCCAAGTCACAGGACCCAAGGGCCCTATCTGCCCTCTCTTTCTCAATGCGCCTCAAAAGCCAATTAAGCGATCAGGGCGGGTTCCCATCGGACAGCGGGTGGGGATGTATGATTAGATCCGGGCAGAGCCTTTTGGCCAATGCCATGCTCATCCATCGTCTTGGTCGAGGTATGTGAGTCCTCGTCGTTAGGAATACAGGTCGGAATGCCCGTTACTGGTTGCTAATCTGGTCATAGAATGGCGACGGAATATGCCTAACTCGGAAGAGAGGAAGATAATATCATTATTTGCCGATGACACACGAGCACCGTACTCCATTCACAACTTCGTACGCCACGGTGCTTCTGCGTGTAACAAGTATCCTGGAGAGTGGTTTGGTCCTTCGGCCACGGCAAGGTGCATACAGTAAGTCTATTTCGTTACCGGTTAATAGCTCGAAGACGGCTAAATAGTAATTGTAGAGCTTTGACGAATGCCAACGAGCCGGTATTACGCGTATTCTCGACAGGGGATGGTCCCGATGTGTACGAAGACAACTTCATGAAAATTGCCAAGCCACATGGTACGGCATTCCACCCGACAATAATACTAGTTGGCACGAGGCTTGGCATCGATAAGATCACGCCGGTATACTGGGAAGCCTTGGCAGCATCTCTACAAATGCCACAGTCAATTGGTATTGCAGGGTACGTACATTTTATATTAGGCTGATATATATGCCGCGTCATTTTTCTGATCAAGATGTGTAGTGGGCGTCCCTCATCGTCACATTACTTCGTCGGGGTCCAGGGCCTTTATTTCTTTTACTTAGATCCCCACTATACAAGGCCTGCTTTGCAACATCACGATGATCCAGACGAGTATACACAGGAAGAATTAGACACTTGTCACACCCGGAAACTACGGCGTCTACATGTCAAGGAGATGGATCCCAGCATGCTCATTGGCTTCCTGATTCGGGATGAAGATGACTGGAGAGATTGGAGAAGAAGTGTCAAACACGTCCAAGGTAAAGCCATAATTCACGTGTCAGATCACGACCCAACCGCGCACTTACATGAATCTGGGGGTATCGACGAGGTTGAAACGCTTAGCGATGACGAGGATTCGGTCTCGGAATAATGCCTGTCGTATGCTGTCCGCGGCGGTTTGTTAGGGACATTGTCTTAAACCCCCAAATCCGATGTATACCTATCCCGAAGTACTAGTTAGGTGTTTACGTGAGTTTGGGATCATGGCAAGCTATCAACGCTGTAAATATCGCGGCAGCTTACTGTATAAATACAGATGCCTATGAGTAAGTATAAGCAGCTAACTACGTAAATAGTTGCCCGCCCTCTTGTATATAGTAGTAGCACGGTGACGAATGCCAGAGGACTGTCTTCCTACCCCGGAAAATGATGGAGGTAGCATGCAGTGGTGCGTATACAATGGCTTGGTCCAAGCTAGTTAAACAGATTCCCCCTCACCCCTTAAAGCAGCATCGACATGCTGCCTAGCGTCACCTAGAGCGAGCGCTTGAGACTCATTTCTTATTAGGCCTAGATATATTAGACCTAGTTGTCGCGTGGCCAGTTTCGTTTAGATGTTTGAACAGTTTCGTCCTTGAATCGAATGTGTCGTTACAGGCAGCACACCTCTTTAGTCTTTAACATTAGTAGCGGCCACCTTTAGATTTCTAATGGGCACGATTACTTACAACGCCAGCCTCCAGTCCCAAAGCAGCTTGGCGAGCGGCCCGCTTCTCCCTCTTAACCTTGGCCTTGCCTACCTTCTTCGAAGGTTCATTAAGCGTAGGTGAAATATCCTCCACGCTCTTGACGAGATTATCTATTTGGCTCTCTTCATCGCCCTGCAAACGGGGCAGTCCTTCTAATGCATCCCTTGAGGTATGGTCATCGCTTTCACCCTCTTCCCGCCCATCGTCCAAGACCGAGGCGTTTGTCGTAACCCTTAATAATGTAGGCTCGCTGTCGCTGTTGGTAAATGCCCCAGCCTGGTCGATTCCATCCTCCCGGGCTATATCCAGTGTACTCCTGCCAACAGCATCCGCGGCATCAACATCTACACAGTTATCAGCTACTGCTAGCGAAATTGGCTCCCCCAGAACAAAGGTCTCGTTCTCCTTCCTCATCTGCCTTTGCAGTTGCTGGACGGCTTTAATGTGCTTCTTGCTCTTCTCGTGGGCCTCGTACTGCTTCTCACTCTTGAACATCTTACTACACACCACGCATTCGCTATGCTCAATTTCGAGTTCTTCGTCAGTCTCGGAGAATTCCCCTTGGTACAGGCCATCACCCTGGGGTAGCACCCAATCGGGAATAGCGGAGATGTCATTCATCTTCCTTTGGTTCGCGGCTCTTGACCTAGCAGCTTGTGCAGCAGCCGATTCGCGCAAAACTCTCTGCCTTTCAGCTTTAGATTGTTTGTTGGGCAAGTAGCGGGGATCGCGCTTGCGGGCCAAAGTAACCAGAGACCGCACTGCGTCATTGAATTGGCGTACAGCGTCCTCCCGGAGCTTTCTATTCTCTTTTTCCATGACACGCCGTGTCCTCCGATCCTGTGCGTCGGAAAGCCTCCATTTGTCTTTCCAGGAGAAGTTGAGCCTAGTGGAGAAATTGGCCCATTGGCTATAGAATGCCTTGGTGACTCTGTCATCGTCGGTAGATGAGCCGAAAGCGGGGTACTGGGGGTGGTTTTGGCCATCCCATTCTGCCGCCACTTTTTCTCCTTCCGCGAGCCTCTCAAAGGTTTCTCGCAGGATGGTAAAAAAGCCATTCGGGGAGTCGTCGAACGGGATTGCCTTGTTAAAACCACCAATCAAGTCAAATATCTCATCGGCGGTGGCAAGTCGGACGTTGTTGTATTCGGGAGGGATTTCATGGCCGGTTGGATCATCCCCATGTAGGATAGCATCACGGTGTGAATCGTACCAAGCGCGCTCCTGAGGGTCAGAGAGAACTTCGTAGGCGACCTGGACTTCAGCAAACCTCCTGGTGGCGTTCTCGGCATCACCGAAATTTCGGTCAGGGTGAAGTTCTAAAGCCTTCCTCTTATACGCCTTCTTTATTCTAGTACCAAGGGGCAGACCAAAGTTAGGAATGAAATATATATGTGGATGTTAGGTTTGATATGCTCACTCGTCATCCGCAACCTGTTGGTCTACACCCAATAGCTGGTAATAATCAGTTCTTTTCGGTGACTGGTTATTCGTCGTGGTGCCTCTGGGGGCGGACTGCTGGGCCCCCATTCTCTAAATGGCAGAGGAAGGTAAATAGAGAAGTAAATAAAATACGTGTAAAAAAAGGAAAAGAAGACAGGTGGGAGGGTTTATTAACAATACCAAGGCTTCAGGTAATCATACCATCGGTTACGCGACCTTAGGCTAAATATATTGTATATTCTATAACTAGCTATCCTCCTTTAGGCAACTCTATATATTAAAAATAGCAAAACATATTACTTTGAACTGTGTAAACTATTATAAATATATATTTATGAAAGTTATTAAAGTATTATTATAGTTATTTTAAAGCTTTCTATATATATAAGTAATATAATTTTAAAAGTATATATATTTCTTATTCATTTTTATAAAATATATACAAATAAGTATTTAAAGTTAATTATGTATAGTATTTAAAATATTATTTATAATATAATAATATATAATATATAATATAATTTATACCCTTATACTTCTCGGGCTTCCTTTATAGGATATCCTCCGAAACGACGTATTTAAGCACTTCCTTCTTAAACCGGGTCTACCGTTTTTAATACCCTATTAATCGGTTACCTCTTAGTCGGGTAAGTAATTAAAATTACGTAAGAAACGTTACTATCTTTTACGACTTTATCGACTATTCTTCTAGCGGTTATAACGATAGAGCTTTATCGCTAAATTATTCGGCGGCGTTGAGTAATACGGCTATATTTACATATATTATATTAAGCTATATATCGATAAAGTCCTCTATATTGCCTTCTTATTAATCGTCGTCGTCGTCGCTTAAGCCGTTAAGTTTACGTAAGAAACCGTCCGTAGCGGAGTATCTCTTACTGGATATATATTAAATATCGAAGCTAAATATCTTAATATAAGCTATTTACCTAGTAAGGATAGCGCCTAGGAAACTAGAGAATCCGTCGTTAAGCTAAGCGATTAATACTTTAGCGTCGGTTTTAAGTACGAAGTAGATACCGTAAAGGTAGTTTTAAAGCCGTCGTAGGGACTTAACGACTCCTAGATACTCTCGTTTCGTAGCGTCGTAATTTAACTCCGTCCTTCTCTAGATTCCTAACTCGTATCTCGAAGGTCTAAAGTTACCTTTGTCGTTATCCTAACCTAATACGTAGCCCTAACCGTTTCTTAATACGTCGACTTTTATTTAGATTAACTATTCGATAATATAATTTAAAATAATTAATATTAATACGTTAATAAGAATAATCTTAAGCGAATCTATAGTATATTATTAATCGATATCTTAAATAAAGTATACTTTCTTACGTATTAATATTAAGAGAGGTTTAGCGACTATAGCGTAATAATCGATCTATATCCTAAAGAAAACCTAATACCGATAAAAGACCTTATTTCGTTTATATTATTATATAACTTCTACTTTAAGATCTTAACTATCTTTACTTCCGAAGGCTTCCTACCGTTTATACCGTATAGATATCTAACGATTACCGTACTACCTTTATACTAAGTAAACTTAACGACGCTAGTAATAATATTAGCTAATTTAAAGTTTAAAAGGATAGCGTTAATATTTTCTAAGTACTTTAAGATAAAGCGTCGTATTCTTAGAAAAGCCTCCTAGTTATCGTATCTCGATACCGGCCCTTTAATATTAACGTCGTCGAAGAAGAACTCGTATTTAATAGGAATTAAATGGTAAAGAATTCGTATAACGACTCAGAAAAAAGCGGTAATTAAGTTCGTCGCGCCTTATAGTAGAATCGTTATACGTAAAAAGCTAATAAGGGTAGCGAACGTAGTTAGGTTATAGTTCGTTTCCGTTAGCGTTACTTAGTCGTACCTAAAGAAAAAGTCGACGATTATAAGGATTAAATATATAACGAATTCTTAGGTAAAGAAGTCTTTATCTCGGGATAGGAAGGCGTCGCTAATAATCTAGGCGTTAAGTTTTATCGTAGAGTTAATAAGTCGTAAACTACTATCTTTTTTCTCGACTACGAATTACGCGTTTCGATAAGGACCGTAGCTTTCTTTTAGGATTCCATTCTTTAGTCGTATACGTAAGACTTCGATTATTCGTTCCTTAAGGGGTATTAGGATAAGGATGCCCTTAGCCTACTAGGCGTTATATAGTACCGTTTTAATCTCATAATCGGGGTAAACCTTAGGTTGGATTTTCCTGATTTTAAAGAAATCCTAAGCTAAGGCTATCTCTTTTCGGTATAAGATCTTAATAAATACGTCTTTCTCTTAACCGGTTAGTTCCGTATTTAATAAACTTACTTTAATAGCGTTAAGCCTTTCCGTTATTAATCTAATACTTCGAAGGATACTAGTAAATCTTAATATAATATTCTTCTAGGGTCTATCGCGCTATAATATATCTAGTAGCTCGTACTTCGATTAACCTCTTTTAATATATAATCCTTTTTTTAATCGAATATTCTTAGCGGTATTTAGTCGTTTAACGGTACGTTATCTATAGGCTAAACTTTACGTAACTTAAGTTTATATATAATATTAATTAAAAATATACGTTTAGCTTAATAAGTTAATTTCGAAATAAGGGCTAGGTTTCGCTTATATTATTTCGACTTTTACGTCGTATATCGAATTACCTTCGTAACGGCTTTACTAAAGACGTAAAGGAATTCTTTATCGCTTAATTTAATAATCGCTTTATTTCCTTTATCTAGACCGAGTTCGAGGGCCGATAAGTCCTTAGCTTCGGAGATAGGTACTACCTCTATATCGTCGTTATAAAGGCGGGTATAATTAATTTTAGCTTAGAGGCTAGCGTCGGTCTTTAAGTACTCGGTTAAGAACGCGTTTTCGGGCCTATATACGTTATTAAAGCGGCCTAGAGTATTAATAGCATTTAGTTTTCCTAATTACCGAATATAAAGCTTAGTAGCGTATCGCTTCTTAAGTCGATAACGAAAGGAACCATTATCTAAACCGAGCTAAAGTTAACGGTTCCTATTGTAGTGGTGCGGTAGATCTAGGCAACGTAGCCTTTTCGATGTCTATTGAACAGGAGTAGCGTAGGTACGCTAACGGAGGCACGAAAAGGACTACCTAACTGCTAATAATTAGCCTAGTGCCGATCAACTAAAATCATAGCTGTAAATAGCTATAATCGGTTGATCGGCTAGCTGAAAACGGCAGCTGGGAAAGGGAACTAAAAAGGGGTAACGAGGATAGCTAGAAAGGCATGGTAAGAAACGAATGAATGACTATAGGTCGTAATATCTATAGGTCTAAGTCTGGCTAATGAAAATATGAGTACGCGACTTATATAAATATATATCGAAAAGGCTACGTAGCCTAGATCCATTACACTATTATAGCCTCCCTAGTTTAATTAATCCGTAAGGAGTAATTGAACTCCTTATATAATAATAGGTGCGGTGGCTCTCGTTCCTATTGAACCTAATCAACCTAATCCTGATTAACCCTGATTAACTAAAAGCTAGCTAGTTTAATTAAAGGCTAATAGGATAAGTTAGGAAACAGGGCTAACTGGGAACGATTGTAATAGCAATAAGTGGGTGGTGGGGTGGGTGACTGTAACCGTGCCTGATCCTGAACCTGATCCTGATTAATCTTGAACCTGATCGATACCGTGGCTAACTAGGAGCTAAGCCAGTTTACTCTAAAGGCCATTAGGAAATAATAGGAAAGATCTGATAATAAGAATAACTAGGCTGGCGGAGCTGTAACCTATAAACTGACTTGATTAACCTGTTCCTAATTAACCCTGATTAACTAGGAGCGAGCTAGGTCCATTAGGGCCATTAAGAAATAACAGGGATCTGTTAGGAAAACAGGAATTATAACGGGTAGGTAAAATAAGCGTAGCTCCCGTGAGAAACGAAAGAAATAATCCCATACGATATAACGTAATCTCCGTCCTTCTCGTCCATAGCTATTACCGATCCTTTTTAACTGATTCCTAATCCTATAAACTAAGTGATATATCCTGTTTAATGCCCGTTTCTATGACTCGTTTCTGGTAACCGTTCCTATATTCGTCCGGTAGTATCTACCGGGCTTCCCTTGACCCTCGATCCCTCCTCTGTACGTGGTTCTAGGGGCTCTCTAGGCTCTTCCTACTAACCATATATTGGTAAGGGCGATAAGAGGGGTCTCTGGGCATTACTGTTCCTATGGTTGTTCTTATAACCGTTCTTGATCTCCTGGGCTGTCTTGTTTAATATCTATTTAATTCGTTCGTATCGGTATCGTTTATAGGTCTATTGCGCTAATCGGTAGGTTCCCCGATTAGGTTCGTAGGTATAAGGTGTATCGGTATCTTCGTGTGGTAATTAAGGGCATCGTGGTACCTATCGGTTGGAGAGGAGAAACCTCCCTAGGTGCCGTAACTAGCTGGTAGGGATAAAATAAAGGCGATCGGAGCTATCGGTAAGCCTCTTGTAATTAAAATAAACTAATCGGTAAAGAACGGATGCCTTTAAGCGCGTACGAGGTTATAAAAAGGGGGTAGTGGCGGTAACGGTGTCAGATTAACTAAGGGCGAAAACTGCCATCTAGGCACTGGTAAAAACGAAGACGAAACCGGGTAAAACGGGCATAGCTCCTTTAAAAGAAATAACTAAGAAACGAGGATAAGATAGATCTACTAATCGGCGAACGAGCTTTTAGGTAAGCTAATTAAAAGCTGATGGGAGGGCGTGGTTATTAATGGTCGCCATGGTTGTTTGCCTTTCCTGTTAATCCTAACCTGAAAAGCTATAACCTGAAAATTCTAACCAAAAGCCACGAAAACAGCTCCTGATTAACTAAAAATCAGGGAATCTCCTGATCGTCGTATCCTAAACCTATTAACTGTAAAACGGTCGATCAAAAGGTCGCTCCTAAGGCTAAGGTAAAGACGAGCTACTAGGTGGTCGCTATTAAACAGGAGTAGCGTAGGTACGCTAACAGAGGTACGAAAAGGACTACCTAACTACTAATAACTAGCCTAGTACCGATTAACTAAGATCATAGCTATAAATAGCTATAATCGGTTAATCGGC